CTCCCCCAGACGGTGGGAGAGGACGCCGACCCAAACACAAGCGTGTTAAAGAGCACCACTCTGTGCCTCCTCCTTTTCTTGTTGCGGCTTCCAGGCAAGGCCGCCACCGTGAATCTTCTATCCTTTCCCGCGGGGATGTTCATGAAAGCGTCCCGAATGTCCACGCCCGCAAGGTAAGGAGGCCGCCCTCGGCGGTACGAGGCCAAAGCCGAGGCCACAACGTCCAGAGGGCGAGGGAGGATGATGCGTTCTCCCTGGTGGCAAGCGGTGTTCACCGCCGACTCCTTAGGTCCCATATGACCCTGGCTTTCTTGACCACCTTGCCCGTCGAGTCTTTCTTCTCCTTGACCAGGACCCCGAGCTTGTTGAGGACGGCATGGCCTCCCAGCTTGGCTGCTGCATGAGCCGCGGGCCAGGTAGTCGCTGATGAGCTCCTCGAGGACTTCGGCTTCGTCCTCGGCCGATTTGTAGTTTGCCCATCCCTCCAGGGTCCTTCGGTCCAGGCTCTCATGGTGAGCCACCCCTTTTGCGTTGACCTTCGGGAACACGCCGTTGCAGGGGATGGGCTCTGAGATTCCCAAAGGAGCCCCGTGGTCTAGCCAGCCAGCCAGGGTGGCCGAATCTGGGTCGTCGGTTGCCTCGCCCCAGGCTTGGATGACGTCGGCACGGAGGGGTGTGTTTGCCGGGGCTCCACCTTTGGGTCGAAGTCTTCCCCTTGCCGTTTGGAGGCCCACTGCTGCTGGCCTTTCTTTCGACCGGCCGCCGACTCGTGGGAGTTCCTCGGGTGGTCGCATTTGAGCCCCTGGAGTTCTGCGAAGCCTGCGGCGTGGGAGCTGCAAAGGATCCGGGTGGGCTTAACAGTCTCGAGACCAAACCTGCACTGATCGAAGGTGGGCTCCTCGACGCGGTCCAGGCGCATGAGTTGGCGGACGAGGGGCATCAACCAGAGCTCCGGGCGGCCCTGGCCATGCACCGGGTTCTCGAGGCCCCAGGTCTTCTGTTGGTCCCACATCGAGCACAAAATGTCGAAGGTGCGCTCGACCAAGACGTTGGCCTCCTTGACCTGGGCTCTCCCGAGGAGAGAGGCCGGGGATGATCGACGGACCTGAGGGGCCTGGGTCCAGGTCGGACTTCCCTGAGCTGGCTGAAGGTGCCGCAGAGAGTGCCCGCGAAGGCCAAGTTGCCGTCCAGGACGTCCCTCTCGAGGGGGCCTCATTGGGCCTCGTCCAGCACGTTGAACGGGGTGTCCGCCACGAGGTCGACGCAGCAGACCATGAAGCCGAAGTGGACCAACCAGTTTGGCAGATCGCCTTTCCTGCGCTGCCCGCTGAAAAGAACCAGGGCCCACGGCCGTTCCACCAGGCGGTCGGACGGAAGCTCCATCCACGTGCCATACGGCCTGGGTCCACGAGAAAGGGGCGTGAAGTCTGGGAGCGTGTTCTCAGCCGGTGGGACTCGGACCAGGTCCTTGGTGAGGGCTGTCTTGAGGCTCCTGCTCCCGCCTTTCTTCGGCTTGCTCGAGTGGGCCCCCTTTGGCGCGGCTCCCTTGCTTTGGGCTCGCGTCGGCCTGGCGGCGAGGCGGGCCTTTCGGAGCCCGGAGTAGTCTGCCTCTTTCGCTTGAGTGCCGGCCTTGCCTTCGGTGGAGTGGGCGGCTTGGCACGGGCAGCAGAGGGGCCGTCTGGCTCCGGAGGGCAGCCAGGTGCCTTTGATTGGCACGTTTGGTCCACGACCTCCTCGGTGATCGCCTGAAGCTCGGTCTCCGTCGGGTCCATGATGAAGTGCGGGGCCTTCGTGCAGGATAGGCCCTGGAGTGGAGGCTCTGCGTGCCGCCCGTCGCCTCAAGTTAGGCTTGGCGGTTTCTGAGTTGCGAAGGGAGTAGGTTCCGAGGTGGCTGAAGGCCAGGGAGAGGCGACGGCGGCTCCGGACAAAGTTGAGCGCCCGCCGTGCAATGGACTCCCAATGGCCCAGAGGAGTGCGGGGGCGTGTCGGAGGGGCCTGGCCTGCACGGGCCCGGGTGCTCGGCTGAGCAACAAGGCAACCGCAGCAGAAGCCAACGACCCAAACACACGCGCACAAGCTAAGGAGGGCCCACGGCACCAGGCTATCGCCCCCGAGCAGAACAAGCGGGTCGCCAGGGGCGAAACCACGCAAGTCTGTCCAGGGAACGACCGCCCGGTCCATGTAGCACCCCCACCTGTTTCCTGGGCTCACCTCAAAAGATCGGTGTCGCCCTTGAGTCCAAAATGGCCACGGACGGAGCACCTTTAAAGAGAAAACCCACCATCCACGTTGAACGATTGTCACTACAACAAGCGCAGGCTTAAGTTTTGCAGCACAAGTCCTTGAGCACCCATCAGGCATGATGAGGCAAGAAGCGCGAACTCTTCGCCGTTGCACCGCAGCACAACCTCAACCGACCGACCAAGACATCACAGCGACCGCGAGCTCACCAGAGTCGGAAGTCGAGAGGCACGGGTCGGCTTCTGCGAGCGGGCCAGCAAGTCCAAGCTACCGCCACGCGGCGGTAGCAGCATCGACTGCAGGGGCAACCGATCTTGCGACAGTTTGGAGCAGAGCAGGGCCAGCACGCCGCGGCACGCCTCAACGTTCATGTCGACCTCTGACTCTGACAGCACCACGTCGCACCAGGCACGGCCGGGAGGGAACGCCCCCTCGCGCAGACTCATTTCAGACGGCGCTCAAGGCACATACTGCCAGAAGCTGGCACCTCACCAGCAAAAATTCGTGCAGGATGCACACCATCGACTAGCTCCTGGCAGCAGCGACCAGAAAGACAGTGAAGCTGCAGGGCCAGGGTTAAGAGATGTTGAGAGCAAAACACCTCGATGGTAATCATTCGGATTGAGCATCCAGCAACGTGTTGCGTGTGGAAGCTGGCAGAGATGCCAAGGAAGGCTTGCCATAGCAATACATCCGGGCCTCGTCGAAGAATTGCAGCGGGCGAGGCTGCGATGTGCTTTGCCCTGGAGATCCAAGATGGGCGGAAGAAATCAGAACAACGAAACAAGAACGAGTGACACAGTGAGCCGGAGCCTGGGAGCAGCGATGCAAGTCGCAAGCTCATCTTGGCATGGTGGAGCTCCTCTTCGAAGTCCTGAACCCAACGAGCTCATAAAGTCAGGATTTGTGTTCCTGGGCATCCCTCCGGAGACCCGACTCCACCAGCAAGGACTGTAAAACCTTCGGCGATCTGCAGTGCCCTTCACACCATCTTCTGCACGGCAGAAGCTGTGGTTGCGGCGAGCATCGTAACTGCAAACATCACGAGTTCATGCGTAGGAACACTAGGTCCGGGACAGCCGTGGCGATCAGTCAATGGACATCGGCCACGCACAAGACAGTACTGATGCAATTTCGCCAGCAGTCCTCCGAGTGGTCTTCACGGCCTGAAAACTCGCAGTATTGCCAACCGCTTCCGTGTTTGGCCAGTGTTCGATGAAGAGCGCGCCTCCGGGCTGCACTTTGTGGCTTCGCGCGAAGCCTCGCCTTGTGTGGGTCCGTCCCCAAGGGGGAATGGTTTCTGAAACTCCTCATATGCTAGTCGTAGCTCCATTGCAGACAAGCCTCTCAAAATAGTCGTGAATATCATCCGGCAAGCCTTCGTCCACCACTTCGAAAGCTTCCTGGCGCAACGCACAGGTCGGCTACGCCTTATGATCAAATTGTTGCATCGACTCCATCATGTGCTTTGCATAATAGCATCAAAAAAGGATGCCGAAAAACAATGACAGTAATCCACCTCCAAACTCCGGTAGCCGAGTTGCCTTGCATCCTGACTCGTCGCAGTGCGAATACTGTACCTGGCATTCGATAGAGTTACATTGAAGCATATCACCTTGCTTGGACACATACATCCATCGCCCCCGGGGCGTGTTGGATGCGTTCGGGTGTGACAATCCCCCTCCCACATAATAACAGTGGAGTCACAGAAGCGACAAAATTGGTGCTGACTCTGGCGGCTCTTGTCATGTCCGAGTTGCTGTTTGACGAAGCGGTCACTCAGCTCAACGAAACGTTGGATTCCAACATTAAAAACAACATGATAAGGATTGGACTGAACAATACTGGACCTGCGAAGACCATCAGCTAAATTAAGGGCAGACCAGCTGAAAGACAAGCTTTGTAGGTTGCCAGAACGTTCGGAAAAATCTTCAAGCCTAGCACGGATGGCTTTGACGCCACGGCTGAGCACAGCAAAAGCACAATGTCGTCATCAAACCGGTCGGGATGCCGAGCAAGCGTCCCGGCTGCAGCCCGTGCCCATGGCTTGGCGGTTTCGGCTCACATCTCGACAGCTTTGTCACTTGCAAGGGCCTACTCTTGGATCTCGGCTCGAAGTGATGGCTACATGGTTTGCCTGTCGGGATGAGCAACGACTCGCTTTTCGAGCGTCGCTTCCCGGTGAAAGCTCGGCTTCGGAAGGAGCAGTGACAGAGATTCCACTTGCGAACCGAGTCCACCTGCTGCCGAGCATTACCAGCCACTGCGAGCTGCTACACAAGGAGACTCCAAGTCAACGCCTGACATCCCTGGAACTCGCGCGTGTTCGCCCTCTGTTCGCATGTTCTTAGTTGCACCTTGGGTGCACAGCTTCACTGCAGGGTGCAAGGGCGGTCTGCTTTAGATTTTCCAGGAAGATGGAGCACATCTCCACACAAGCGACTCTGTCGAAAAGCGAAGATGCCTACTAGCAGCCTGTGAACAATTTTCGGCACAAACGGAGAGGCGTGTAGTAAGAGTTCAGTACAACAGGGCTCCCACCACCACTGAACATGAGTCGCCCGGGGAAAGCACCCAAAGGCTGCTCCTGCTCCTACAAAGCGCACATTACATTAACAAGAGGTCCTGCGAGTGCAGAATCAAAGTGCGCACAACCGCAGCACATCACATTAACAGGGCAATCTTTTGGGGTGGCCTCACGCGACGGGCCGTCAAGCAACTGCGACCAGCAACAAAGCAATTGCAGAAGTAGCTGCATCTCAAGCTGCGACCGGCCCTTCAGCCTCGAGAGCAACAATTCGAGACTGACACAACCAAAACGACCACGACCAGTGCTGTCGCTTCCTTTTCTTAGACGTCGTAGTGATCTGGGCATGCTCGGAGTCTCGACATTCAACCGTTGCATCTGAGGTCTTGTCTGGGTCAGAGGCTGGACGTCCTGCACAACTGAAGCTGGCTCACAGAATGCACAGCTTGAGAAAGCTACCAAAACCTGCACCACGAAGTCTCACACACTGCAACATCGGGTGTAAAGTGTCCTTTTCGCAGCGCAAGGGCCCGAAGCATGTTCTCTGCCCGCATGCACCTGAGCAAAACTGAATGGCTCCAATTGGATTGGAGACGGAAAGTGGTTGCGACTCTGCAGGTGCTGCACATCATTGCGACGAAAGATCTTCAAGGCACCCACCTCAGCAGACCCTCCAGGCTGTCTGTGCCATTCACGGCATCTGGCAGGACCTGGCGGAAGCCGCGGAACAAGTCCAGCAATGGCGTATGGATTCGTCGGCTTCCATCTTCGGCCACCCCGTGCCTCAGCTTCGGCCTCACCTCTTGCTGCCACCTTGTCCACCAAGTTTTGCAGAACACCGCTCTCCTCACGAAAACGATCGGATCAGTCTTGCACTTTGCTTGAAGCACACGACATCCTTACATTCAGCTGTTGCTCCGACTGGCTGACATATTTGCAAAAACATCCACACTATAATGAGGCACAGCTTCTCTCACACCCAAGTCGAAACTGAGGGGATCCAAACTATTTTGGTGCACGTTAGTGCGGACTTTCCCGTATCTTCTGGTGTATCGCGTGTCACTGTTGATTGCGGTGGTTGTTTTTGGTGTTGTCGCAGGTTTCATGCCCCTGCACCATGCTTTCAAAGACGAACAGCACTCAGCTCTTTTTGCCTTTAGTTCGCCTGTTCCATCCTGTTCCCGTTGTACCGACATGCTTAGACCCTCCCACCAGCGCTCCGTCAGAGCAGAAGCAGCCGGTCGCCGGTCCGGGTCTTCGCACCTGGCGACAACTCGCGAAGAGGACTCCAGTGCAGGTCCAGGAGCCGCATGAAAGAGTTGCGAAGTTGAGAAAGGAAGCCGGGCAGGAAACAGGTCAGAGCAAGCGAGCGAGCGATTCAGTGAGCAAGTGCCTGGTTGGCTGACGGCGGACGGACACATCGACTTATGCGATCAATGTGGTATCTCGGACCAGCCGGGATGGCATGAGCTCTTCAAAGACAAGGATCTTGAGCTCCTGGTCTCCAACTGACGGACACTGTGATGCACAGGGAAGAGTTTGGCTACCACGGGATCCTCGCTGTAAATCCAGCGGAAGCTGCTGCGCTTCTTCAGGAATGCCAAGCGCCGCTCCTGGAGGGCATCCTGGCACAGAACAGCACTCATTCGGCCTGCTCCTCAAAACGCCTGCTGCGGCAGACAAACATGCCAACGATTCGGCAGAACCTCACGCGGCAGAACTTCGCGGGTGCTTACTATGTCCAGTCGACAGACAATGATACTGATATTAGTGATATTAGTACCAATCAAGCTTGGATCCACAGCAGCTCGAGGGCAAGTTCAGCTGAACGAGCGTAACTAAGACTCGGACACTCCTCTACAGGGCACGCCTGTCGAAACGAACAAGGAGGCGATGGCAGAAACGAAATATAACGAAATGCACTTAACACACTCTCAGTGCAGTGTCGAGCATCGCAACACCACCAAACCTCTTGCTGGCGAGGCAGAGGAGGAAGGGTCTCAGAATGCCAAACAACTTCGTAACGTGTCCATAGCTCGCACGCCGGGATACTCTGTTGAGAGCGCCGCCACACTGCGCTTGTCCTTTCGCTGTGGAGCACCTCGGACTGAGCATGCCCAGGCCAAGAAGAACTGAAGCTAAGCAACTGCGCTGGTTTGGCAGAGGTCAGGTGCGAGAAGAGACAAAAACCAGCTGGGAAACAGCGGCATGAAGCGATCATCTGCTGTTGAGAACCAATGCTCTGTGATTTTGGAATCCGATTGTCTTCCGGACTTTCTAAGCCCGCAGAAACAAAGCGGCACAGGGCACGCCTGCATCAGCGGACAAAAAGCCGGATACTGTCGCAACATGCTCCAGTGATGGCGAGTCGACAAAATGAAATGAGTTGCTCTGGAGAGCATATACATAATGCTGACAAACGTTGTCAACAGCAAACAACAGTAAGTCAATGCATGCTTCCTTCTGTCTTTGGTCGCTCAGGCTCGGACGGGAATTGTTAGAAGGTGTCCTGCACAGATGTCGAGCAAATTTCAGGCTTCCTACTAAGGCCACCAAAAAAAAGAACAGTGTGGCTGCCCTACGACCTTTCAACCCACAGAAACAACATGGACAATCCGCAAATGTCAACAGAAGGCAAACCAGTACAAAGCTGTCGTGAGTGGCCTCGTCACGTCTCTCGAAGACTTGTGTGCTGGCAAGGACGGCACCTCTGCACTCATGGCACGATTCACAGCACCCTCACCGGCGACATGCTTTCACTCTTCACAATTGCATATGGACAGTGATATTCTGCTCCATCTGTGGCCATGCGTAATTGACGACGCCTGTGGCTCTGCGCTGAAATCAGAGGCAGGTTGTTGCCAGTACAAAGGCTCGTGGAAAGGCTGTTGGGGATCTCTCCTGACTCCCAACATCATCAACGGCTGGCCATTGCAGGACCCAGCTGTGAATCAGAGACCGGCTTGTTGGATTTCACCCAGCTCCAATATTCTCGAAGGGTTCGAAGTGCGCCCGGACAAAGTCGATGTGTAGACCCTCCCTCAAGCCAAGGCCGGAGGCCTGGGGCCTGGGGCATGGTATTGCCCCCCCCCCCGCCCCCAAGGCACTCCCAACCACCCGATAGGGCTCTTGTAGTCGATTTGTGAAGGGTTTGGTGAGGGCTCCCCTCAGGCAGATCGCCCAAGAGTTTGGGTGTGGACCGTCCCCGAGGCAGAGCGGCTAATTTTCCAGTAGAACATGCCCGTGACCTGAAAATCGTTTCAAGTACCTTCTAAGTTATGAGGAGAAGCTCCTTTGTACGCAGTGGCGCCGAACCTAGCGTGCTGTGCAGTCAAGCTTCTACAAGCCACAGCCATGCATGATGAATGCAGAGACAGAGAACACGCGTGTCATCAGACAGGTTTGGGAGTTCATTAAGGCTTCTTGTGAGTTCCGGCGTTCGTTGCACCTTGCCAGCCCGTGAAGGTGAAGATGTCGATGTGCCACCTGGCAACGTTGCCGAGCTGCTGCAGAAACGCCGTTCTGCCCTGCAAGGAGCCGGGCTGACCAACTCCTTGCCCTCCAAGTAGAAAGGACCAGAAACTCTTGGGGGCCAAAGCCTGCGGAAACAACACATGCCGGCTCCGCTAAGTTCCGGTCACAATTCAACAAGCAACAGTGACGGCAAGCCCAGGAAGCAAATGCTGTCAACCCTTTTGTGCACAATGAGCCATTACAACCTGCTGACGTGTTGCTCTCTTCGTGCAACAGTTTCGGTGTGGTACATCCCTGTGGTCGCAATCCTGCTCTCCATTCATTCTCTCCCTCAACATCGCAAGTCCTCGAGACCTCTCTATGCATCTATGCAAGCGAGTTGCGCCGACGTCCCTCACTACTTCACGATGGCCCATGTATCCCAGACGCAGGCAAAGAACCTCCGGCGAGTTTCGATATGCCAGCAGTTCCTGTGCTGTGCGAAGCAGTGGAGGATTGCATGCGACATGGCCGACCAATGACACGTGGATTGCAGAACATCGACGCACAAGCAGTCCTTGGAGTTGAAGGGCTTGCCCAGGGTCGCAACCTTCACGAATGCACTCGCGGTCGAAACAAGGGCGGCATCGGATGATCAGGCGACATCGCAAGTTAGCATCTCCCTTCAAGTAGCTACTGTATGGCAGCTCAAGCACCTGACATCAAGCCAGTACTCAGGGAAGTGCCTCGAAAAGGACCACTCCCAGGGACCTCAAAAAAGATAAATCACTTCCTGCTGCCCCCAAACACTGCACAGTCCTCAGATTAAGGGTCCCGGCCAAATGTCACAGTTCAGCCCGTATGGACGTCGACCCAACAGTTCCGGGGCCATGATCCTGCAGGCCGGGCTGGGGCAGCGGCCCACCCAGGTGATGAATAGAGATGGGTGATGGAGGGTGGCGCGTGACAAGCTTCAGAATGCTTGCATAGGCACGTGCTCCCACAACCAACACCACATGTCTCTCTTCTGTGGGGTGGGAAGCGCTTAAAGCCGTTCGACAGCCCGACCCGGACCCACGTCAGAAATAGTCCAAGCCCAAGTCAGCCCATGAGCTGTTTATGCGGAGAAACCACACAAAGCCACAAGACTGCCGTTAATCTCCGTTACAGTACTTGCCAAGAGCCAAGACAGTACTTGCCAGGAAGCGCACCAGAGAGTGCCGGTCTCATCTCGACGTTTTGCAGCCTTGAGAACAAGAGCATCGGACTCTGCCCATCACTCTTCGCCCACATGCGGCTGCACCGAGGGCAGCTCATCGTCCAGCAGCACCGCTGTACCGAAATCTGCCAATTTGTAGTAGCCTGACACAACTGTCAAGTTTTCGCGCATTCTTGTTTGGTTGCGCATGCTTCCCCGCACAACAGAACTAACCCTCACCTGGCCTTGGGCCCACAAGATGTTCTCGCTCTTGACATCCTTGAAAGCATGTCGTAAAGGGATCAGACTTCTAGGAAATTCCGCACTCCGACGCTTCCACACCGCATCTGGGGTAACCACCCTGTGGGCAACACCATGACGATGCAGGAAGGTCAGGGCAGACAGTAGGTTTCGCAGCACCTTCAAAAGATGTCGTGTTCAGTTCCTAAGCTTGCCAGACAGACCTACTGCGCTCCTGAAGCACTTCCGACTCTGGGAAACGGAAGCGGCCGGGCTCGGAGAGGATCTTCATGCCACCTTCGATAAAGTGGCCGAGACAGGCGCAGCAGTGTTCAGCTATCTGTTACAATGCAGACGTATTGAGACTGTTGAGAAAGCTGCCGTCTGCTGCAGCGCCATTGCCTGACTTGGCAGCCAGCGGCTAGCGGACACAATGGCACGGGCTGCAATGTGTCCAATACTGTTCGCGCTGGTGAACCGGCTGCCGCTGACTAAGCTTTCGACTGTACGCACGTCGCTGTGCAGCCAATGACTTTTCAAAGTCTCCTCGGGCTTTTTTCATTTGTTGGTGCTCACAGTCATGGGCGGGGAGACCGCATCCCACACAGTCTAAGTCGCGAGCCTCGGAGATTTCCTGCGGCTTGTGGCTTAAGGGAGATGCCAGCATTTCTTGCAGCAAATGGCGTGTTTGTATGGTCTCCACCTACGAACTTCCAGCCTGCCGCAAAGATCATGTCAGCCAAACTGAAGGAGCATAGTTCCATGACCTGACATGGCCACCGTTGCTGTGCACGACTTGGTCTCTCCTGCTAGCTGGCGTTTTTCTGAGCAGCAAGCCAGGTAGACTTCTCTGTCCAGGCCCGACGGTCCTCACCGAACCAGTAGAGCCAACTTGCCAGCGTGTAAGGTAAGACTCTGCTAACTCTGCAAGAATACTGCGGTGTCCTGCAAACCAATCCAAATAAGCAACGATGCATGGATGCCTCGGAAATTTTCTACACTCTGCAAAGGCCTTAAAAGGCTGAAGTTCCGAGGTTTGGAAGTGATGAGCATTACCCTCGACACCATCAGAACTGCGAACTGCTTCTCTCTCGGATCTCGGCCCCAGCGAAGCCGGATCTCCAACCTCAGCTCAGCAGATAAGGTGCCCCTCCTCGGACGAGCAAATCGTATCAAGTCAGCCGGGATTTGTTCTTGACAGCTCGCCTGCGCCAAACATCTTTGCTGGGGCCGTACTCCTCTTTTTGCAATGTGGTTTCATCGCGTATTTTCAATGACTGTCATCGACGAGGCCAGCACCTCCTCAGCATATTTTGCTCGGCAGTGGAATACCACCGAAATCTGAGATGACACGAGACACAACACTTTCTGTCGCGACATCATAGGTGGAAACTGCGACATGAATTACAGGCAAGCCCTGGATGTGGGGAAAGTGCAAAATCCCACGCTGTTCCACGACGGCCCACCTCTTGCTGTATCTGGCGCTGGATGGCCGCGTTGATAGCACGCATATGCTTCAGCGCAACCTACACAGATCGCGGTGTGATAAGTACTCCATGCATAATATGAGCAATGGAGAATTCGGTCCCGCCCGGGCTGGAAGCCTGGCCTGCGAGCTGTCGATGGAAAGGGCCCCATATTCCTGGCGTCGGTGCTCCAACTTACAGTTTCGGTACGGCACGATAATACGGAGTTTCTATGCACCACTGCGGAGAAAGGTTGTTGATGATCAGCCATGGTTGTTTGGACTGCACAACTCTCGAGCAACAAGAGCTCAAACACGTCTCGTACAAATCGGCGTCTGCAGCCATCGGAGCAACTGGCCGGATGGGCTGGGCAGCTTGCTGGAACACGGCCAAGGAACACCTCGCCTCGCACGTCGAAAACACAAACATTGACGCAGCCTGCTGGAAACATCGGTGCGTGTGCGAGCCATGTCTGTGGCAAAACCATTCATGGCCCCTGCCTTTCTGAAAACATGTGACAGGAGCCGAGGATCCGTCCAGTTGCCCCGCATGACAGGTGCTTGCCTTGAACGTATCCTGCGAACGGAACTTGTGATACAAGCACGACAATAATTCTGTTCAAAATCCTCCTTCGAAGTTACCACAGACACCCAACCCCAAAGAAATAAAAAACAGGGCTTCTAGCGCGAGATTCACCACGATGAGCTAAACCTGGTAACTTGATCCATCAACGTCGGAGCTGTTTTACGTGGCCCTCTCCTCGATTTTGCAAGCGCCGTCCGGTCTGGAACCCGCGGCAAGCGGCAAGGAGCTCCGACTGGCATGATTCAAACCCGCAGTTTACTCGCAAGTTGGGACCAATACAACAATGGCGGTGCTGAAATGGTAACGACACTAGCGAAATGCAATCCAAATCCTGATTCTGGCAAATATGGTACTGGAGTTACAGCTGCAGAGAAGATGCTGCACCTTGGAAAGCGGCTGGGTTCGAGTGTCTGACTCGGGGGCCCACGCCATTCACCATGTCTGCTCAAACTGGGCAGAACTAGTCCGGTGCGCAAAGGCTTGGCCGGCAAAAGCCAATGCTGTCAACGCTACACTAGGTTTAGGCTTTTGGCTTGTTGTTGTGAGGTTTTGTGCGGACATGTGGTTGACATCTCGTTTACTGCTGAACCGAAAACTCTTGAATCTTCGTCACTGAAGCGGGCCTGCACCTATTGCACGTTGCATTTGCGAGACCGGACTTGCAGTATCAGCGAAATTTAAGTCTGAAGCAACATCTTGCACAGGTCAATACAAGCGCACATACAGTAGCAAGTCTACATCGTCAATCCCTTCCCCATTTTATTACAAACCCCCAATTTTAAAAACACGTTGGTGCGAATCCTCTCGAAATTTCCCTGCCCTGTAAAACCTATTCTGAATTCGGCGGGAGGGTTTCAGGGACCCCTGAAAAACATAAGGCCCCTGATCCTGCGCTCTAAACCCCTAAACCCTAAACTTTGGCCCGAAACCCCTCTTAAACCCCTAAGCCCTAAGCAACCATACATCCCATGCCGAAACCAAAAAAATCCCTGTGATAATAAGAACACTTTCCAGTTTGTTTCTTGGTGCGGGGCTCCGTTTCATATTCATGTGTCAGTAAAATTGACGAAGTTTATTCCAATTCTGTGTTGTATGAGTCTTTGCAGCTGTCGCCATCCGAACAGTCTTTCAAACAGCTAGGTGGGAGTTCCCACAGTTCCCAGTCCGGAGTCCTTAAGCTGCTGACCTATGCTTCGAAGCTCGGTCGGGCCCCAACTTTTTAAGAGAAAGCGAAGGTCGGAGCCGATGGATGCATCGGATCATCGCTCGGCCTCGATGCTTTGGACCTCAAACAGAAAGCAACAACGCTCGGATCGAAAGGCATGAGGTCTTTCGATGACTCTGAGGCCAAAGCTTTTTTGTCTTTTTGCTTTTTTCAGTTGCCTCTGTGCCTGACCGGAGCAAGCGTTGCCCAAGTCCAAAGAACAGGGTTTTGGTTGATTCACACATACCGATCACAGACCAATGTCAGAGCCTTCGGCAACCAGATGCTCTGAAAGTTCGCCCGGAACTGCCGCCTACCAAGATTGGAACTGGAGAGGTCAGAGTCTGGCGCAATTTGCACATGTCACGGTTTCTTCACCACTTCCGTGCCTGCTCCGGCAGAAGTATCCTCAGCAAGCTGAAAGCGTTGGCTTCGTCGCCTGCTCACGATGGTTCAGCTGTATCTCGTTGCAGCCGGACCTGATTTACAGTATTGGCTTGACTGTCTTCAGCCTGGAGCATGACTTTTATCGGCGCACAGCAAAAGCTTACCACCTCCCCTTGCCTTCAGGCGTTGGCAGTGCCGTCTCCTGATGGCGCAGCTTGCGGACCGTCCTTGTGTGTGAAAAGGCAACCAAGCGCTACAGAGGCAGTGGGGCGAGAAGAGGCGACTGGATACTGTTATGAAACATCCCTGATGCCTTGTTGCTTGGCTTGGCCGTGGGAGTGGTTCGAATGTCAATACGTATGTACTTCAGTACTTTCACAAAAAAAATATATGCGTCTGCATATTATCCTGGCAAGCTCATCAGGACGGCTGAGCTGTTTCGGTCGTGGCGAATCCTTTCACATCAGCACTGGGGACTGCCTGATACCATTGCACGGTCTTAATCCTGGAATACTTCTTTTTCGGGCAGTCAACAGACGAGCTGGATTCGCCGCCAGGATGGTGGATGTCCACTGCAACATTTGCAGCATGAAGAACATGTTCCAGTACTTGCTGGCCTTCACCCGCCCGATTTTGACATCAAGCAGATTTCCAGTGGCTTCGTGTCTGGGATTGAAGCTTCGTGAGCCTGCTGTCCGAGCTTGTTGCGTGTGCTTCAGACTAGCTCCACATGTGCTCACTGTGCCCGCAGTCTGGCGGTGAAGTTTCGAAGGGTTCCCTTGCCAGTTTCATCATGCTTTTCGGCTTTTGGATTTACCTTCCTCCAGCTCGTTAATGGAGCGCAGGTGTCTGTGGCAGTGCCCGGCGGAAAGCTATCAACAGTACCGGCATGTGGTCGGGAGCGTTTAAGTTCAAGCCCAAACTGACAGCAAGATGTAACACCAACAACATTGAGTCGAGGCGTGGCTTAGAAGCCCCTGTGGCCATGCTATGCTCTCGCCGATCCTGGATGTTTCATTCGTTCATTCATGGTTTTCCGAAGGCTGCTTCAAGAACGATGCAACATGCCAACCATGGCGACCATGGCAACGAAAGATCATAAAACCCCTGCGCATCTGAGTGATCCTGCTGGGTTCCCGACGCGGCCCATTCCGCTCGCGGGACAACTCGTCCCCCAAGCTCCAGCTTGTAGTCCTCGGCAGGTAACCACGATTGCTCTACAGCACACCACGCGCCACATCGAGCTGAACGAACTCGACAGCTCAGAGCACTGCTAACTCCATTCCAAGATCCCAAGTCTGGAATCCCTGCTTTGCCTCAGCATCGGTTCATGGCGGGGTCCGAACAGAGCTGCTGCTTGGTGAAATGGCATGATACTTCTCTTGCCATGTCAGACTCGACTGCCGGGTGTGGACACCAATCGATGTCTTCAATACGACTCGATACTACAAATACGTGACGTGCCATGAGGCCTTTTGGAACTCCGGCTGCAACAGCAACAAACTGAGAACTCCGACTAGCCATGCCCCAAGCGCTGCCAGCTGCACACATCCTGCGCCTGGGTACCTGGGATCGTCAAGGGCACGGAAGGCGCAGAAGTTTAAGTTTGCATGAATTGGTGCTCCTCCAAGGATCGGACTTGTCTTTGATGGAGAAGCCAGTGCAGCTACTGCAGAGCAGTGTCTTTGCACAAGTCACACGTGAAGCACAGCAAAACTTTCCGCAAACTGACGCACAACAACTGCAACGAAGAGTCAAACCTGAACATAATTCCCCATGTGTGCCGTTGAATGCACTTCCGAAACTGCATGAAGGGGGGCGGAGCCTGTAGGTGCTGCCTCAATCGAATGACGGGCAACTACCATGGGACAAATCACACATCCATTCCTGATTCCTGCACAAACACCCCACCAACAGTGTATCGCGACGGCCAGAGGCTGGGCACCACACCACATGTGTAGCCTGCCGCACGTCTTCAAGTCAATTTCGACACATGGCAGAAGAGTGTTTGAACTTCCGTCGCCACATCTACTTTGCCTGAAGGATCCTAGTCTGCCAGTGCCACGGAGCTTCAGACCGGAACGGTATCCACACAGAAACGTCGGCAAGAGCTGCTTTAGCCGTTTTTGCTTTTGCAAGCACGTGTCCTGGTTTGAATCGGCTGCATCGCCCCTGCAGAAGGTCAGCAGCGGGCAGGAAGGGCCATCTGGTTTCATGGATCCTTTCCGGCCATGGGAATGGAAGAGAGGACGAGCCTGGATTGCAGAACATTTGCAAAGCCTCAACGATCCGCCAGATGACTGTCGTCTCAGATCGGACAGGCTCTGTTTCCACCCCTCACATTATGCAATTAACTAACAGGGATGTTTTCCTATCTGTTCATGCATGTTGCTTTTCGTGCTTGGCTGCATGGTGTTTGCTTGTTACAAACAGGCGAAAGCCTACGCTACCAGCAGATGCACCCGTGCATGCGAGTGTCGGCATTCATCCTTGGCTGGATGCGCCATTGGGTGCTGATGAGCGCTTCCTCCTTCTTGTTTCCGCGTAGTGCTTTATGCGAGTCTGGAGCTGCCGCAGAAGTGAAGAGAAACAACAAATTGCTGAGAGTCTGGCTGTGTTGGCTCCATAAGTGCTGACATGGCACAGCATTCAGAGCTTGGTTTCGTTTCGACCGTCCTCCTTCTGGAGTCTTCGAAGTTTCCAGTGCATTATGTTCAGGAGAAACCAAACGCGAATGCTTCAAACCCGGATCTGCGTTGGGCACCAGCGCACGGCTCGGCATTCAGCCACTTCTGCTGATAGCTCAAAACCGTCCATGCTCGGCCATGCCAGAAGCAGTCAAAAAAATCTCTCAAGCTGCGCCTATTTCCCCGGCGACGAGATCACCATTTTGGCAATTCCACAACCTCGCAAGTCACACAGAGCTGCTCTCTGCTAACAAGTCCCCTGCCAGCTGGCGAAAAGGCAAAGAACACACAAGCTTGCAAAGCTCATGAAACTGTGCATCCCTCTTCAGCTGCAATGCACACTGTCCCTACCTCTTTGGAGTGCAACTGGCGCTTTTTTACAGCAACACACGAGATGCATTACAACTGCGCCTGAGTAAGAAGGACATGTCGTCGCTCTGCGACATCAACACAACATCACTACTTGTTGACCGATAAATGCAGCAAAAGGACGGTGAAGCAAACAAACCCTTCTGTACAACGATGGCTTGCCGTCAAAACAGATACGGATACTACTACTGCTGCTGCTGCTGCTGCTGCTACTACTACTACTACTACTACTACTCCTGCTGCTGCTGCTACTAGTACTGCTAAGCTACTACAGCAGCAACAAACCTCAAAACAAAGCTCGGCGCAAGCATTGCAAGCGGACGCGTGGATAAGTGCGTGGTCCGATACGGACTGGAAAACTGCATCCCACATGTCATAACAACGACCCTAAGTTCACCTGTGATCTGCCTATGCACTAACGCAAAGCTGAAACGGGAAACCTCCGTCGACGTTGGCCGTCTCTATGCTTTGTTTGCATCCTAGAAAACGGCGAAAACATCTTCCCAAGAACACTCGCCCCGTGCAGTAAAGCGGCTCGATGGAAAGGAACCGAATGCCACCTCTCAGCCACTTTGAGCCTCAGCCCGGATCACGTAGAGGTTTCTGCACTAAAGACACAGATCAGCATTGCGACCAAGCATGCGGGGTACGAACACAGAGCAGACCTGAAAGACTGAGCCACACGCCAAGGCTTTGCACGTCCTACGAGCGAACATGACCCACGCACCTATTAACTGGTCGTAATTCGCAAGAACTGCTGATCTTCCGTTCTGCAACGGGAGGCG